AAGTTTCACAAGTATGTGCAGATTGTAGCATGAGAGTAGCAAGACTACTTTGGTATCCAAATAAAACAAAAAAAAAAATTAATGCAAATTTTAGTCTAAAACTAGCCTAACATCCTATAGCCCTACATACTTTATAGCTAGAATCAGTCACCAAGGAAAACAAAGAAAGGGTGCTCAACCGAGTGATTTCGGGCCAAGTGTCAGCCAAATCTGGCCTTTTTGGGATTCAATATTATACTCGTATCTTTTTGTATCTCATGACCTATTCCCTTTTTTTTTTTTTTTTTTTTTTTTTTTTTTTTTTATGAAGCCTCATGACCTCTTCCTCAATTAACGAGAATTACTTTTTTTTTTCTTTTTTTGTTAAATTTACTTCATACTCCGTAATAATTATTTTTCTCTCACATTGGTAATTTTTCAATAAAATATTTTATGAGTATAATTTTTTAATACTCTAATTATCCACACTTATCTCTTATTTTTTTTAAATCAATTAAATTGTCTAAATCTATACATTGATAATGTAAAACTTTTTTAGAAAGATGGAGTGATCATGAGTAAGTATTATTAACTATAACTATAGATTATAAATGAGCAATGACGTATTAAAAATAACGTTTTTTCATTAAACATGTATTGATATCATTATACTCCCTCCGTCCCTTAATTAGATTCCTACTTCTAGCATTTATTCCTCACATAATTAGAGAGAAATAGGAATCTAATTAAGGGACGGAGGGAGTACCATCTAGTAAAACTAAGTAACACCTTTGTTGTTACTCCATGAGACTATGGATTGAGGAGGCACCTCGTGAAATACAAAGCTTTGTAATGATTTAATGACTGAAGTTGTTATTAGCTTAATAAATTTTGCTTTTGCGCCAAAAAAATATACCCTGTATATACTTCCTCTATTAAATATACTCCCTCCATCCCTTATTGATAGTCTCTTATGGCCAATTTTAAGTCCCAAAATGATAGTCCCATTAATATTAATATTTTATCAAAATAAACTCCAATTTGCAACAATATTTGTGTCAATTTAACTTTCCCATGTAAATTTTGCTTTTCCATATACTTTTATTCCTTTCTCTCTCTACTTTTTTGCATACCCAATATAAATTTACTTTTTCAATGTACTTTTACTACTTCTTATTTATGTTTATTAATTCTCGTGAAAATTGCCCGTAAGGGATTATCAATAAGGGATGGAGGGAGTAAATTGCAACAATTACTATATTTGGATGCTAAGTATTAATTGCAACATTTTTTTTTTAAAAAATACAATATTGTGGATAATATAATATGTGAAGAAAGCAAATTACTATGTGCACTCGAGTGTGATGCGCATCATAGTTCCGTACAAAACACATATAATCGTAGTAAACATACAACTCAATATAAAATAGGAATTATGCAAGTATGATAAGACACATATACTCGTAGTAAACATACAACTCAATATAAAATGTTATGCAAGTATGATAAAATATTATATAAGAAAATATTATAGTCAAAACAACATTACTTTGGAGCATGATACTCAGATGCACAATATAACGATATCATTTTTTCAAGACAAACTAGACAATGCATTGAAATGAATGATCTAAACATCATTTAAAAGTATCTCCACACTAATGACACCTAGTGGAGTTAAGTATTTACTCAAAAAAATTTACACACCCCTAAATAGTTTGTTTACTCTTAAAAAAATTTGCTCACCACTAAATAATTTGTCCCTAAACAAACATATACAATTACCTTACTCATAAAGATATTGCTTACCCATAAAGAATTTCCTCACCCCTAAAATATTATATACAATTACCTCATCTCTAAATAAATTGCTCATCCCTAAAAAATATGCTCATTGTTAAATAATTTGCTCACGCCCATTAAAATCATATAAAATTACCTTGCCCCAAAATAATTTACTCACCTCTAAAGAATTTGCTCGACCCTAAAAAATTATATACAATTATTTTTCCAATTACTAATTTTAGAAGCTATTTTATTAATTATATTCCAAACAATAATAACTTTGCCAATTACCAAATTTGAAAGCTATTTTAATTTTATACTAAAGAATAACCATTTTTCCAATAACCAAATTTAAAGGTTATTTTATAATTATAAATAATGAAACACAGCTATTTAGAACACAATAATAAGTCTACTAAGTTTTTTTTTTTTTAACCGTGTAGATCATTGCAGGTAATTGATTGCTTACGGTGAAAGAATTACAAATCCGATTACATTAACAACTGCAAATTTAAAGGCCATTTTATTAATCATTTCTAAGAAATAGTTATATCGCCAATTACCAAATTTAAAGACTATCTATAATATTATTAAAACTAAATAGGATTACATGGTATCACCATGTGGTATCTGTTAAACTCAAGAAAATATTTAGGAGAAAACGGCTTGATGAGCCTTTACCATTAATCACGTATATATAGGTTACAACATTAACCTAACTTACCAAAAAACTCCTACCAAGAGATATAAAAATATATTCACAAAATATATCTAACTTAACACAATTATATCCTAACACTCCCCCTCAAGTTGGAGCATGTAAGTAACGAATGCCCAACTTGTTAAAGCAAAAAACCAAACTGATGTTTCCCAAGAGCCTTTGTCAATATATCTGCCAACTGATGACCTGTAGGAATATAAGCAGTGGCAAGATTACCGGACACCAACTCATCACGAATAAAGTGACAATCCACCTCTATATGCTTAGTACATACGGTCATGAAAAACAAGATTTTTAGCAATATGAAGAGCAGATTGACTATCACAATACAATTTCATAGGCTTGGGATGCAAAATACCAATAGAGAATAACAAGGATTTCAACCATTTCAATTCACAAGTTGTAACCGCCATAGAACGATACTCAGCTTCAGCAGAAGAACGAGATACTGTAGGTTGTTTCTTAGTCTTCCATGAAACAGGGGAACGACCAAGAAACACCATATACCCAGACAAAGACCGACGAGTGAGCGGATCGACACGCCGCCCAATCACTATCACAGAAGGCTGTCAAACATAAGTCCTTCATAGGACGTAGCAAAATACCTTGACCAGGTTTACCTTTGATGTAGCGTAGTACCCTAATAGCGGCATCCCAATGTTGCACCTTCGGGTTACTTAAAAACTGTGCAAGAGTATGAACAGAATAACTCAACTCTGGACGAGTGACAGATAAATAAACAAGTCGCCCAACTAAGCGACGATACTGGTCCGGTTGAGAGAATGAATCCCCCTCGGCATATGCCAGACGATGGTTCTGCTCCATAGGTGTATCAATAGGCTTACAGCCTAACATACCTGCCTCAGATAATACATCTAAAGCATATTTACGTTGAGATAAAAATATACCTTCCGGACCACGAGCAACTTCAATGCCCAAAAAATACTTCAACACACCAAGATCTTTCATATGAAAACATGTACTCAAATACGATTTAAAATGAATAATCACATCATGAGAAGAACCAGCAATAATAAGATCATCAACATACACAAGTACGCGTAGAGAGACTGGTCCCTGAATATAACTAAACAATGAATAATCTGGATACAATTGCTTGAAACCATACGATTTCAAAGCATTAGACAACTTTGAAAACCACTGTCAAGGAGCCTGTTTCAAACCATATAAAGATTTTCGCAACTTGCAAACTTTCCCTGGAGTAGGATAATTATAACCTGGAGAAAGTTGCATATACACTTCCTCCTCCAAATCACCATTAAGAAAAACATTATGAACATCCAGTTGATGTAACTCCCAATTTAAAGAAGCAGCAACAATATCCTTCATTTAATAATATTGGCGCTACATGAGCTATGACATGTCAAGACCTATTAATCTACACTAAATACCAAAATTCAATGCAAATTTATGATTGAAATATAATTTGAACCACTAAACTTAAGAACGACATCTACCATTAAACTATCAATGCCTCTTAATACTTATTGTGCTTAATAAAATGATTTAAACTATGCGTTGTAACTTTCTAATTTGACTGGAATGCTCCTTATTTCGCAACTTTGTATTAAGTACTCGATATATTACTGTTTTATTATTTATAATTCAATTAATAAGCAAACCTAAATTCATTTTAATTTCAACTTTAGTTCACTATTGAAATTTTGTCACTGGTGATGGGATCAAATATTTCCACCATATATTTTTTTTAGTTTACTCCCTTTAATGTCTACTCAAAGTGACAAATAAAAAAATTTAATATTGATAACTACACTATAATAAAATAAAAGCATTGGTCACATTTAATATTGAATTTTAAAAAAAATATAACTACACTATAATAATAAAAAAAACATTGGTCACATTTAATATTGAATTTTTTTTAAAAAAAAGATAAACTACACTATAATAAAATAAAAGCATTGGTCAAAAAAAAAAAAAAAACATAAAAACAATGACCCGGGACATCGTCCGGGCCAAAAACTAGTTTTATTAATTATATTTCAAAAACTATTTATTTTGTTATCACCAAATTTTTACACTATATATTAATTATATTCCAAAGAATAATTACTTTGCTAATTACCAATTTTAGAGACTATTCTAGTAATTACAAGTATATTCCAAAATCCAAAGAGTATATTTTTTGTCAATTACCATATAGGTCAAATTATAAATTAATATTCCAAATAACAATTATATTGGCAATTACCAAATTTTAAGGCCATTTGAATAATTGTCTTCCAAAGAAAAAGAATTTTGTCAATTACCAATTTTAGAGGATATTTTATTAATTTTAGAAGATAATCAATATTTACAACCATATCAAACTATGACAAGCAGGCTAGAAAGCTCCTACAAGGTAATTCTAGAAAACAAACGTCAGCCAAATTTGTTAATTTCTACTAATCTAATAACACTTAAAAGCCAAAATATGAGCAATAGGTTCTATATAAACCAATTTCTTTGAAGGGGTCGCATAATTTTTTTTATGAGTTACTTATTGTTTAGAAGGCGACATGTAAGGTACTTTTAGGGAAAGGTTGTTACATACATTTTGTTGTACCGTACACCAATGAGTATTTGTTCTCATTTTGATGATTGTTTTTTATTTTATCATCAAATGAAAAACAAAAACTAACCTTAGGTTAGTTAGGTGTACGATACACTCGGGTGTGTATAATAAATTCTAACTTTTAGGAGTTGTCTAGTTCTTTTAGATGCAACATGATAGCTTAAAAAGAGATATAGATTGACCAATAGAGTTGAAGTTGAATAAGGCTTCATTTAAATACAATAAGCTAATCTGTCAAAAAAAAATAAAATAATAATAATAATAAATATAAGCCTTTAAAGAATACTACTAAATAGACCTTTGAAGCTTCACCCGTAGGAGTTTCTACCTTCCTCACTTTAAATACTATCAAGTTTCAACTCTTAAAGAGCATATAAACAAGTCCGATTTCTTCACATAACAACCTTTACACCGTCTAGCCCTTTTGCCATTTTCGTTGCCCTGCAGCCAACACACATCCACTCTTGCTGCTTCTGCACCATCTACCACACCCCCTTGTCACCCCACAACACAAGCACAGCTCGCTACTGCTGACACATTGCAGCCCACCACAAAGCAGGCACACGTCTACCTGACTGCGTAAAAGCAACGTCAATCTGATCCACAAACACAACATACTCTCAGTCTCACCCTTGCCAACACTAACTGTGCTACAACACAAACCTCACAGACAAACACCATTCAAACCAAGTAGACTTGTTACGAGACAATAAAAAAATATGCTTCACATACACAAGATCATAAAATCGTAAATTTCAACTTTAATTATTCCCTAGAAATGTGATAGTCAATAATTACAGCAGCTCAGATCTGAATAATGCAAACTAAAGGCAGGTCACTTCTTTAAGCGACAAAGAATCATCACTTGCACACAGGATCATCAAAGTTGGGAATGACTTTAGGAAATAGACGAGATATATAGAGGAGAATATACATGAACAAGCACATGTTCCAGCCCAGGAATAATGTCTCCTTGTTTTGATATCTGCAAAGGTTTCCCATATAGTACCATAGTTAGGCTCTGCAGGTGCCCTTCTTTGGGTGTCAAATGGTATTCCTCTCGATGCAATTGTCCAATTGATGAAGTTATACTTCCAACCCAAGAAACCATCCTCTTAAGGCCACGCGTGAAAGGAACTTCTTTGAAGGTTATGTCGTCGGATATAAGCAAGTCTTTGTTCATTGCATTTTGCAGTTTCACAATAAAACTGGTCTTCTTGCTTAGAAAGACTTCAAGAGTAGGGTTATACCTGCCTGTTAAGAGAGAGGAAAAACTAAGAGTGTTGGCTATAAACTGACTTATCATCCAGAACATGCTATATCATACTATCAGAGACTGTAAATAAAATACATTAAGAAAAAATAAATAAAATTACTCCTTCAACTTTACTATAACCATAACACTTTTTGCCAAGACTGGAAGGATAGAGAGAATTGAAAGAGTTGAGAAAGAAGACAAAGAAGAAGAAAGGAATGTTAAACTTATTCTATACATTCCAACACAGAAACAGTTAAGGTTATGAGTGAGACAGTAAACGAGAATAGGCAAAGCATCAAGCTTTATTTGGTTGGGGAAATCTTTCAAGTAATTTATTGAAGACATTACAAAGCAAGGGAAGAGAACTGGCCGGGGAAAATAAAGATTATAAAATTAATAAGAAAAAAAAAAAAAAAAACTTGCTTGTTGAAATTGAAATCAAGAAATACCAATAACTTCAACCTTAATTAATTTGATGGGACTAAAATATCTTTTAACCAATACAGTGGATCATGCATAGCATAGATACTACAAGCAGAAACACGAATATAAAAGTAAGGGCAGATGCTCATATTATGCTTCAGCAAAGGATCGTTGATTCAATGCCATAAAAAATTTGTGGCTCATAAAACGCAATATGCTTCACTTGATTAAATATATTCATGTGTTCGAATTGGTCTGAAACTAAGTTCACAGTAACAGACGGAACTTGATATCAGAAATAAGCAGCATAGCTCCCATTTCTTACAGAAAGCTGTGCATATGAGCCAATAATTTAAAAGGTAGTTATGTACATGAAAAGTACTCCGATCCGTAGCATTTTATTATTAAATAAGAAAAAACACAGGAAAATTACTTTTAAGTTTCTGCAAATAAGGTTATAACTTATAAGCTTCTAAATGTTTTGGTCATTAAACCATCAAAAATTAACAAACTCAACCTGGAGCAATAATGTAGCACAAGATATAGAAACATAATACTGAATAATGCAAAAAACCGAAGCTTACCCTTCCTTTTGTACAATGGGCATAAGAGCGCCAGGTGAAGTAACTTTATCAATAGGAAAGGCCTTTCCCATTAATCGATTCCACAAAAGTGCACTGAATAAATGCAATACATGGATGAGCAATTGATATGTAGGACCATGATCAAATTTAACAAAGAGGAAGTATGAAGAATCTCTTGCCTATAATAATTTGGGTTAGGGACAAAGGTAACCAGGAGGCCATAATTTGCACTAATAAATGTCTGCCGACAATTAATTTTGATGTCATAAGTGGGCAGTTAGTCCAAGCTGATCTAAGTACCTATATATCAAAAGTGGAACAAAGCAAGGAGATTATTTCTTTGTTTTTTGTCAGATGCATGAAAAATATGTGGCAAGCGAAATAGTTAAAATACCAAAAGCTGTCAATAAAGGCAGCAGAAACAAGATGGCCTTTACTGTTATAAGCACCACCAGCTTCACCAACCCAAGCGTGAGCCCAAGGACCATGCTCTTGGATTGTTTTATTGAGCATATGTTCACACAAAGTCAAATCATATGCAAAACCCAGTAATGTTTGAGCAAAATTAAGATAATTTAGGCCCTTTTTGGTTGAAGGGATTTGGATGAAAAAGAAAAGAAAGGAAAGAGTTTTAATCATATTCCCATATTTGGTTGAATTAATAACATGAGAATTCAAAGGAAAGGAAGGGAAGTGGGAGGAAAGTTCCTTTACAAATTTTTACCTTTCCTTTCCTCCCAAAATTGGAGGAATTCGACTGGAAAGAGAAAAATAAAAGTATCCTTTATTAATTTCTCTCTTCCATTCATTTCCTTTCATAAACCAAATATTGAAAAATAACACCACCTTCCTTTCCCTTCTTTTCCCTTCCCTTCCCTTCCTTTCTCTTCTTTTCCTTTACTAATATTGAACCAAAAGAGTGAAATCTGGCATTCAACAGCTCAATTGCATCAAATCGGAAAAAAAACTCCATGACCAGAATATTTACTCAATATACTAACATTTGACAGCTCAATTAAATACAAACGATTAGTATAATTTCAATTCATTCACAAGAAAATTACTCAATTTAAAGTTCAAGCACCTGATTCAGTAAGCTCAACAAAAAGAAATCAAACAAAACCCAAAAAAATTCAAAAACTTGTGAGTTAAAATTAATGAAACCCTAAAAAATTAGAGGGAAATGGATCTTACATTTTGAAGAATTAGAACAATTTATAAGTAAATGATTTCCAAAATCAAAACAAATTACAGAATTTCTAACAATTCACGCATCAACAAAGGTTGCATCGTGTACCGCACATACTTTGTGGAAAAGCCGAGTTTGATTAAAAAAAAAAAAAAAAGCACTATCTCTATTCTCTCCCACAATTCCATGTTATTATCACTAAGGGATGAGGTAAACATGCGATGTTAAGCAAAGTAGTAATATAAATTGATAGAATTGTTAATGGAAGAAGAAGAAGAAGATGAAGAAGAATAAAGAGTTTTATATTTAGAGTGCTTGTAAATCTCAATATTGTTCAACACTACTTTTCTCTTGTTAAGAAAGTGTAATTCTAGAAGAAGCTGGTAAAAAAAAGGCTAGGACCATAAAACTGGTAAGTGTAATTCTAGAAGAAGCTGGTAAAAGGCGTAGGACCATAAAACTGGTAAGTGTAATTCTAGAAGAAGCTGGTAAAAAAAGGCATAGGACCATAAATCTAGTAAGGTTACTGGTATAAGCAAGACTGCAACAGAATTCATCAACATTAGCGAGCATGTTGGATCAAATATGATCTTGACAGAGTTCAGATGGTAGAAAGAAAGTTCCAACAGAAAGAGGGCGGATGAGAAAGGGGGCTACATAGCAGTAAGAGATTGACAAAATCAATCAATCAATCAACGCCGTAATCCCATAAGTGGGGTAAGAGATTGACAAAAGAAACCATAAATCCTGAACAGAGCAGGAGCCTATTCTCAAGGTACATTTGATAAAATAATCATAATAAGGCAAGTCAGCAGTTACGTTTAAACAGACAGTACCCTCAAAAGATAAAAGTAATGAAATCACAAACACAACTTATCAGATTTTCTACTTCCTAGATATCGAGTCAAATGAAAAGCACTAATATAGAAGATTGAGCTGATGTCTCACCAACTGATCTACAAAGTCATTCTGATGTTAAGCTCTTGTACTGCCTGTATCAAAATCATTGCATTAGAGACCAATACAAAGAGTCATATGAAAGAGTAACAGAAAAAGGGGGAAAAAAAAAAAAATTGAACTCAAAGTGCCAGTACTGCTGACAAACATTCTTCAAAAAACTCTTCAGAGATTTTTAACCCAAATCAAGAACTCAGTGTCAAAACATTAATTAAACATTGTAAAATCTAAGTTACTAATAAAACAATCATCTCAAATCTTGATTAATCATCCTTCTAGCAGAAGTTTCTGACCAAGACCATCATTCAACCATATATTCTAGATTTCTAGCACAATAGCAAGTAAATCATTTGTGACTGTGTCCTTTAAATGACAATGTTTTGCTTTACAGATTGCAGTTTGACACTGTTCAGTGATATAAAGTGTAATTCTCTTACTAATAACAGAAGAAGGACCAATGCATCCATAAAACTAATTAAATATTTGACCTCTAATTATCAGCGTAACTAATGAAAATGTGGAAGAGACCCCTGATTTTTTAACTTCCCTCCCTAACCACCCCCCTTTTTCCATATCATTCTCTGCATCTATTCAGGTTGAACTATCTGCAAATTATCTTGACGTTGAAAATTAAATACAAATAACGTTGTCTTGTACGTCAATTTTAGGGGAGGATCGTAGCAATCAAGGCTCTTAGCAGATTCATCCGATGTATCCACAGCTTAACTTGCTAGGATATGTGCAGCTCACTGGATCGGAATAATGCCCTGTTATTACGATAATCATATGATGCCATCCAAATTTAAAAAGAAACTACCTAAACTATGTTCAATCATCATAGGAGAGTACAATGTGGTATTAATTTTCTTTCCGAAAGTAGACTGTTTTACAACTGAACGATGAATATTATGTCAACCCAACAATATTTAACAGCTCCATCAAGCACATACACATTATTTTTAAACCATAGCTCTAATATGCTCTATCTGCAACTCCTTTAGTCCTACACAATTATCGAGCTACTAAGCTGTTCAATATTGAAGTCAGGTTGTACCAAGAGAGCTGAAATAATTATTGTAAGAAGCCCAACGTGAAACTAATGTAGGTATATAAAACATTCAACATTTTCAACCCAACGAAAGATAAAAACCGGACTAAGAGGCTTGTGGTGATAAGCATTCAGATATAAACTTACGATACAAGGTTTCAGCACAACATATCCATACATGCACATCCCCTCCTTACATATCATAAGAACCAAGCTTATGAAAGCAGCGTGTCAAATCCTTACCCAACAAAGTCAGATCAACGCCATTTTCGGCCGCTCTAATAAATTTCATGAATTAAACCACACACAAAGCAAAAAAAACAACTCAATTGATAAAAAAGTACAGAAATACCCAAAATTTGAGGTGGGATTGGTGGGTCAAGTGCAATTTACTGAGCTTATTCCATATCGTTGGTAAATTAATCATCCTACAAGTGGTTGTTCACATGCCTGCACCACATTCATTCTCACTTCAAATTTCACTAAATTTCTAACTGTTTGGGTCCAATTTAGTCCAATTGGGCCTAAGCACTAAATGATCCAATTAAAAGCCCAAGGTCAAGGTTCAACTCTCCAATTGTGCTAAAGTCAAAGGTCAGCCCACAAAGCAAGCCAATTGGGCTAAGGCCCAACCTCTCCATGTATGATGAGGTATAAAAGCCATCATATTGATTCATTCATGGAGGGATTCGGATTCTGATTCATTCATAGATTCATATGCTCATCCATATATTCTGATATATTCCATAAAAGCCTCAAGCAACAAACTCTCTTGCATAGTGTCCTCTTCTTACACATTGTACTGACTTTAGCATCGGAGGGGCCTTCCTCGGCAACACCCCCGAGGCTAGTTTACGTGTGTTTACTGTGCAGGAAACCTTGGGCCCAACATAGCTTGGACCGAATCCAGCCTTCTCCATTTCAGCGGACCTTCGGCAAGGTCCCATTGTTTTCACCCGAAACAATTTGGCGCCGTCTGTGGGGAAGACTTTCAAAAATCTTTAAGCCAAATTCCTAACCAAGATCATCTTGCAATTATCTTAGCAGCAATGGCTAAGAACCGCAAGAGCAAAAGCCTCCGTCAAGGAGCGGGCGAAAAGCCTAAAACCCCTACACCACCGCCCTCGCCGGACCGGAACTCTCCCAAGGGTGCCGGCTCGGGGGGAGGATCATACAAGGAGGATTCCCTATCTCCCGTAATTCATGACTCTCATTATAGGCCGGGCCACTCTCGGTCTAGCAGGGGTGAGTCCGATCATAGGACATATTCAGTGTCCCAAAGCTAACCATCGGCTGCGCGCCCTCATTCCCACACTCGGCCGAGGACCCCTTTGACGGGGCCCAGCTCGGAAGAGGTGGCAAGAGCGCTGGCAGTACTCATGGAGGCGATGAGGGCACAAAATATGCCACCACCTCGTGATCGAACTCCTCCGCATACCCGGCATCAGCGGAGGAAGTTAGACCATGATGGTGGGAAGCTTCCTTCCTTCCGGGAACTGGAAGAGTGGGAGGAGGATTCTTGGAAAAATGAAAAACAGAGGAAAAAGAACCCTCAATTTTTAAAAGGATCCTCATCCTCAAGACCAGAAGCGCATAAGAGCAGCAGCTCAGCTTGTCGGCCAGAATCTACTCACCGAGAACCTGAGACTGTTCGCAGAAGCGTCCTTGACCGACTCGGCGACAAGGAACCGAGCGTGCGCAGTCGCCTCTCGTTCCCTGCAGCCGAGGCCCAGACTTCCCAGCCAGGGACGAAAACCACTCCTACCTCTCTAAGAGGGCGGAGCGCGGTCCCTTCGGCCAGGAACAAGGGCAAGGCCGTTATGCTACCCGCTAGTTCACCATTCGAGCAATGGATACTGGAAGAGCGCGTACCCACGGTTAAAATACCGTCGCACATCACATATGACGGGACCACGGATCCGAAGGATCACGTGGCCTCGTATGAGACTCATATGCATCTTTGCCCCAGATCCGAGGCGACTTGGTGCAAATATTTCCCAACCACTCTCAAGGGGGTCGCGCAAGCGTGGATCTCCAAGGGAGTAAGGCAAGACTCCGTAACAGGGTGGGATGATCTGTCCTCCAAGTTCAGGAGCAAGTTTTCCACGGCAAACCGCCGAGAGAAGACTACCGCAGAGCTCATGAGTCTGCAACAGGGGGAAACCGAAAGCCTCCGAGACTACCTGACCCGTTTCAGTAACGAGTCATCAAGCGTCTCCCAGCTGGACCAGGGGCTAGCCGTTTTCGCAATGCAGAATGGCCTTCAGCCAGGAAAGTTCCTAGACTTCATGGTCATGCATACCCCGCAGACCTTGGAGGAAGCTCTTAGTGCTTCGGATAAGTTCATCCGAGCCGAAGAATGGAACAAAGCGAAAACCCAACCTCAATTCGGGGGAGGGAAACAGAGGCAAATACCCTTATCTGAAGGCCAAGGCCATAAGGCAAAGGGAAAGTCAAAGGCCCCGGAGCAATCTTTGGCCAACGACCCAAAGAAGGAAAGATTTGCCTCATACACAGGCAGATACGAGTCCTACACTCCGCTCTCTCTTCCACGCGCCAAAATTTACAGTGTGACGAAGGAGGAGCAGAGTTACCGAAAGCCGAGACCACTCCCAGAGTGGTATCAGCGAAAAAATAAAAATCAGTGGTGTGAGTTCCACGAGTCTTCGGGACACAACACTGAGGAGTGTATCCAACTGAAGGACCAGATAGAGGACATGGTCCGGAAGGGATACTTGAAAAAATACTTCGCGGATCACCGCGAGAAAAAAGAATCCGAGAGGTCAGCAAAGGACCCTCGGCAGGACCTCGACTTCCCCCGGAAAAACAGTAAAAAGTCGGAGGGGAAATTCCCTCCGATCAATGTTATCTCGGGAGGAATATACTCTCGGAGGGAGCACAAGCGCCACCTTAGAGCTTTGACTCACCAGGTGAACAACGCTGACATTCAATCTCCCCAGTCGCCGGTGCCGAACATGACGTTCACAGCCGCCGACTGCCGGGGGATTACATTCCCTCACGAGGATCCGTTGGTGATTATCGCCACGGTGGCCAACCACGACGTCAGTAAGGTCCTTGTTGACGGTGGCAGTGGAGCAAACATTCTGTTCCGAAAGGCCTACAATCAAATTAAGCTGAAGCCCAAGCACCTTACGCCGGTACCCTATCCGGTATCCGGGTTCAATGGGGCTTCAACTTATCCAGATGGGAAGGTGACACTTCCTGTCACCATCGGTTGCGATGAGGCAGCCCGGAACGTCATGATTGAATTTTTGGTCATCGACGCTCCTTCAGTGTACAACGTGATTTTGGGGAGACCCATAATTCACGAGATCCAAGGGGTCGTCTCAACTTATCATCAGCTGATGATTTACGTCTCAGACGCCGGCTTCCCCGAAAGGATACATGGCAACCAAAAGGACGCCCGAAGGTGCAACTACCTCAAGCCATCCAGTAGTCGCCCAGATGACGACAAGGATGAGGAGGAGAAAGAAAGAGAGCCAAGCACAAAAAAGCCAAAAGGCCTAAGTGCTTCGGCCCAAGGATCTGTGCCCAGAGAAAAAGGGCCCGAAAGGGAAAAGGCTAGCTTTTCAGTTGAGCCGCAAGACTCAGAGAGCCAGCCGAAGAACAAAAAGACGGGGACACCTGCTGACATTGGCAGCAGGCCAGATTCTGAAGAGTCCAGTCCATCGGCAATGGACATGGACCAACAGACTGAAACAGTTGAGTTGGCCGAAGGAGACGGTGAGAAATGTGTAGCAATTGGGATGGACCTTGATCCGAACACCCGTTGTGACTCAGTTCAGACCTCATCTCCCATAAGCTTAATGTTGACCTGACGTGTCGACCAGTTAAGCAAAAGAAGCGGAATTACTCCGCCAATAAGAACCGAGACATCACAGCCGAGGTCAAAAAATTATTGGAGGCAGGATTCATCGAACCTTGCCAATATCCAGAATGGTTGGCAAATGTGGTGATGGTTCAGAA